AAAATAATCGTTAAATTTTTAATCCCAAATACGGGATTGAATAAAAAGTAATCCCAAAAATTAAAAATAAATTTTTAATCTCAGATCCCAGATTGAATTTTAGTCCCAAGCTTATGATTAAAATATAAAATTTTTTTTTTACGATTTAGAATTTTCAATTTTTCCTTTTTAAATTATCAATTTCTAATCCCAAAATCGGAATTAGAATTTAGTTTTTAATCCCGGAATTGTAGTTTAAAATTTAAAACATTATTTTTAATCGAGCAGTAGCATCTATTATTTCACCATATTCACTTTTTATACCCTGAACAGGGTATATTATGCCACGGAGTTTGTAACACCCTAAAGAAAGAGTCGGAGACCCTATAAAATACATGTATAAATGATCAGTGTAACGAGCTGAGTCGATTACGCCATGCCCGTCCGTCTGTCCGTCCGTCTGTCTATATATGTATATACGAGTTTCAGTTTTTTAGATATCGATTTGAAATTTTGTACACGCCCTTCTTTTCATTTGACGAGATATCTTCATAACATTTGTCATTGGTAATTGCCTAAAGCATAAAGCAATCTCCGAAGAAATTGTTCAGATTGGATCAGGTTAGCATATAGCTGGCATACAAACTTAACGATCGGAATCAAGTGGTTGTATAGAAAACTTTTTCATTTGACAAGATATCTTCTTCAAATCTGACATGGGTTATTGTCTAAGGCAACGGTGCAATCTATGAAGAAATTGTTCAGGTCAAGTCACCACAGTATATAGTTGCCATACAAACTGACAGATCAAAGTTCTTGTAAGGACTTTTTGTATATGTTATGTGAGGATTTTATAGCTTAGGTGCAGCCGAAGTTAACGTTTTTTCTTGTTGTGGTATATGAATACTCCGTCCTAATTATTTAATGCATTGCCCCTGTAGCAAATATTAGTGCTTCAACTGGAGTCGCACGCCCGCTCTCACCCCCACTCTAATTCCAACTTCTATTTCCAAATAAATATTTCGCGAAACAAAGAAGCGATATGTTGCCAGTCTCCTTTAAAATGTTACTTCATCGCCTTTGTTGTCAACATTGGACCTTTGTTAACCTCTACATCCCCATATAACTATATCGTGCCGCACACGAGGCCAAACATAAACGAATATTATTGTACTTACATACAATATGTATTTGTGTGTGTGTGTGTGTGCGTGTGTGTATGTGTATGCATGCATTGAGTTCGCTTTATGATGAGTGCTTCGTGCGCGTAATTCGCTTCTTGGCCCATCTTTAATTTGTAAAGCACATAATTTAATTTAGTCGCCATTATGTACTTCACATTTTAAAGTCATCACATTCCATTGTTAGGTTGTTATTTATTTCTGTTTCTGCTCACACAATACATATCTATATACATACATACATATATTCTTTTTATACTTCTTTGTTTGACCAATAGTGAAAAATGTGGGAATTCTTTTTTTGTTTGATGTTTTTGTTCTTTTTATTTAGCAGGTTGTTTCCGTTGTTTCTTTCATATTTATAAAGTAAATAAAAAGAAAATGGAAGCTGCCATGTTCGTTGCGGTATATCTCCCTTGCATTTGCACTGTTATGCATGTGTGCATGTGTATGTGAGTATTTCTAAGTCGTGTGTGTGTGTGTATGTTGTAAGCGTGGTTTGGTTTAGTTACCTTGCTAATGTCCTTTGGCGTTGTTGGTACACCTGTTAATAGTGGATCTAACGGTTGTTTAGTTGCTTATGGCGTGATTGTTATTGCTTATGCTATTTTTGCTTTTGTTTTTCATGCATATTCATTGCTGTAAGTACGTAACCTATGTATGTACATACAGTCATGTGAAAAATAATAGGGACACCTCCCTTAAAATATTTCAAAACCCTACTCTGTCTTAATAGAAAACAATTGTCAGAAATTACACACTTATTTTCTTACCATTTCCGATTTCCAAAAATCAAAAAACCGTTACAGTATCCAGATTTTAGCTTATGCTGAAGATAATATGCCGATTCGATGGGTGTTCCAGCAAGGCAATGACCCGAAGCACATATAACAACACATAACAACATTAGCACCGTAAGCTGGCCTGCTCAATCGCCGGATTTAAATTCAATTGGTAACTTGTGGCGAGAGTTCAAAGTAGCTTTGAGGGGTAAGAAAGCAACCAATAAAAATGCCCTTTGGTCACTGGTAAAAGAAGCATGTGAAGCTATTCCCCTAGCTACATGCCAAACATTGGTTGAATCTATGGTACATATATGTCGTCGATGTCGGGCCGTTGTACATAATAAAGGCTTAACAACTAAATATTAAGATAGAAATCAAAATACTTCAACAATCAAATAATGTTTTAAAAATTTATACCTAAACTTTTTTTAAATAAAACTTAAATAATTTTTGCGCATGTCCCTATTTTTTTAAAGCGTAAAATGAGATGGGCGATTGAATTAGTTTTATTTCTTTGTAAATAGAATTCGACCCAAATTTTTTATTATTTGATAGTAACTACATTAGCTATTTTCAAAATACAATTATAAAACTTAATTAAAAATAAATGAGAATATATGAATTTGTAATATGTCCATATTATTTTTCACATGACTGGTTATGTCTCTACATATTTACAAGTATATTTTCTCCACTTTTTGCAGCGCTATTGCTGTTGTTCTGCCATTATAGCAGCTCTTATTAATGTTTGTGTTGTTGTTAGTACTGCTGTTACTGTTGCTCGTCGTCGACGACAACGCCGGCGTCATCATTGTGTCTCAGTTCTTGCATATTTTCACACAAGTCATTTTATTTCCTTCTTTCATGTTTTACACACAACCCCATCGGCTTGCCAGTATCCCCTTTACTTTTCCGTTTACACGCCGCAATCGCTCTGTGCGCTTCACCAACATTTACATACCCCCATTCGGCTATTTAGAGAAGATTCATACTGCGGTAGCTTCTTACTGCGGCATGCCGCATAGCCACGCGACTCGCACTCGGTGTGTCTGACATTCTTTATGAACTGTGCGTTATAATTAAAGTTTCCACCGTTTAAACAATTAATTGTATAAATTAAAAAGCATTTCAGTATATGCCGTATGTATGGGGGTACATATTTATGTGTTTGTATGTATCGTATTGCCTTCTGGTAGGTGTGGTGTACAACTCACTCTTTCAAAAATCAGATTCATACATACATGTTGTTGTTGCAACTTCATTTTGGTTGAAATGATAAACACATCTACTAGCATTACGTCGGTGTAAATCGTAGTTACATGCCATTTAGTTATTAATTGGCATTGCGACATAGAAGCTTAAAGTGACAAATTATTTTGAAAGGAATCGACTGGTTTTTTTTTTCAAATAATAATCGGAAGATCTGAAAACAGCTGTTCATACGATTGTACAAGTACAATATTTAACAAGGTCAAGGTGCTACGTGGTTTAAAAAGTGTTGGCCTAACTTTTCCTCGATATCCAACAGATCTAATAACGTGCGGAAATATTTTGTATATATTGTTTTATTCTGTTCGAGAAAGTCCATGAAAGCCCATGCCATGTGAATCCCTAAAACTACTGGCTAAAATCGTGTTGTCCTGTGGTGATTTTCTTTTTTCACATTGTGAGCATAATCGAAAACATATGAATTTTTGTGAATTTTTTATGACGACACAGTTAAAATTATTAAAACCAATGGTACTTGTACATTATAGTATGCTAAATTTTTACGAAGAAATATTAAAAAATACGGCAATGACAGCAATTATTCGAACGTGTCTCGGAAGAAAAGAGGGCTGCGAGCCCCTCATAACTCTCATAAAGTTTTTCGAAAGTTCAATTTTCAACTTTTTTTAGTACTCTTTGAAGGAAAACCGCAATTTTTTACGAAAAACCGGTTTACTTGTTATTGTAAAATAAAAATGATTAACAAGTTTGAAAATAACTCTCCGGCATTACCTCGTTAATTATGTAAATAGCGTTCAAATTTTCAGATGAATCGGTGTAGCATTTTTAAAGTTATGAAGGGCACCAGCTTTGAAAACTTGAGCTGTGAAGAAAACACTTTGAAGTTTTGAAATCTGATGTATATCGCTTATAAGACAGGTTTAAAAATACCCATAATTTCGTAAATTTTGATCCAATCGTTTTGAAATTTAGACACAACGCTCTAGAGATATTTTTAATTTTTCGAAAACCCTACTCTACTAACATAGTTTGCCAATGAGGGCGATGCACCTATTATAAAGGGTTTTCAACTTTACGATAAAAATGTCGTAGTACGATTTGTCATTTGCTGTAAAATAGATCTCAGTCACGACGATTACCTCGACATTTTCGACATTACAATCATTCTGTTCCGGTCTACGAACGAAAAAAAAATCTAAGTTCCAGATCCCAACATAGAGGATTCAAATGTTTTTAAACCTAATTTATTTTGACATTTTGTTACAATTGACGACTATAGAGCCAATGTTTGAAATCAGCTTTTTTAAGAGGGCCTCGACAAAATAAATGCCGGGTTCTTAACCTGGTAAAGTAAACAATTTTCAATTCCATATTATGTATGGGAAGTAGGAACTTCACACAGATTCGCATGCAGCTCTTCCGTGCTATCTTTACTTTTAAATTTAATGCTAGTAGTTTTGAACATTTAACCAATCTGAGGGCATGAACAGGGAACATGCCTGTTTAAAAATATTTTAACCAAAGATCCCTTTCCCTACTGTGGCCCCCCTGTAAGGAACGTGAGTTTTGTATCTTCATTTCTGTTATGGCATTTTATAGTTTTTCGGTTGACGACATTTTGTGGGCATGAAAATGGTCTGATATCAATTTGTTTCGTCATCCTGATCACATTGATATGCATAATTTTATATCTATCTAGATTGGTTAGTTGAACAAAACAATTACAACAATAATATGAACATATATAGGTTTCTAATGTTTTCTAAAAACAAAGAGTGAAATAAGCGACTGTATTGTAAAATAATAGTTTTTTTTTTCCTTACAGTTCTTCACACATCCGCGAGTTTGGCGTTAAATGAGAGTTGGGATCCAGACGTCAGGTAATATAAAAGCAATTATTCCATTCCTTATGTTTACAGCAAAACGATTTCTTTATAATTGGCTAATTTAAACTTAATATATGTGATACATAGAGACGACATGGAAATGATGTTAAATAAAATAGTTCCCGAAGGTCTACCGTACAGGCACTCGTGCGAAGGACCCGATGATATGGTGGGTACAAACAAATTGCTGAATTGCTTAATTGCTATACCGTTAGTTCTTCTAATAATTGTGTTTATTTCGATTTCATGCTTGCAGCCGGCGCATGTGAAAGCCTGCTTCCTCGGCAGCTCATTGACAATCCCCATAACTGATGGTAAATTATCGCTTGGTACATGGCAGGGCGTTTGGCTATGCGAGCATCGCGATCAAGCGGGTTCACGCAAGCTAGTTATAACACTGTCTGGGTGTCCGCGTGAGACAGCGCGCAGTCCGCTGTCGCCAGTATCGCCAATCGCTTCGACATCCAGTTAGGGAAGGCCTCGCTCCACCCGCGATAGTCGGTAATCGCGGGGGAGCGACAATAATGACATCATTTCGTCGAGGAAATTAATTTTTAATAGAAATTTAGCTAATACCAAAATCAGTGCGACGGCAACAACAACAACAGCGGCAGCGGCATCAGCTGTAGCAGCCGCAGCAGCTGCGAGCACTACAACTACTACTTGTGCGAAAAATACGACTAATTTAACTAATATAACTACGAACGCGTTATTAAGTAATAGTAGAAGATTGTTCATGAAAAACCAATTACATTTAAATTTAAATGTAACGGAAACATTGAATGTTGATAATGATGGTAATGCGAGTGATTCGATGGAAGCAGCGGCAGCAGCAGCAGCAGCAGTAGCCGTATCTAAGTTAAAATGGGATGGTGTTAATGTAGAAACCGTCACAACAGTGCCTCAACAACAACAACAACTACTACTACAACCACACGAACAAAAACAACATCAACAACAAATACTAGAAGCAGAACAACAAAAACTTAGAAAAGCATATAGCAAAATCGAAGCAATTGCAGTGGGACAGTCGTCTACAACTACAACAACATCAACAACCACATTTAGAGGAGACGTGGGAATAGTAGCAGCAACAAAACGAGTAGCGACATCGCTATCATCATCACCGTCATTGTTGAATTCATCATCAACGGCATTAGCTAAATTTAACCGAATCATCGACAGTACAATGCCGGCAACTAATTATTATCAGCACCATTTGCAACAACAGAAGCAAGCGCAAGAAAGCATGCAACATGCCATATGCGCCGGTGCAGCACCACCAGCAACGCTGAGTGACGCACTACAGCAGCGCTTAGCGCTCGTCTATCCCGACATTGTCTCGACCGATTCGCAAACGAAAAAAATTAATTTCACAACAGCAGCAGCAGCGGCAACAGCGAAGACAGCAGCAACAACCGCACAAACAGCAAAACCGAAAGCGAAAGTGAAAGGAAAATCCGGTGCAACGCATGATCGTTCGCGTACAACGCGAGCGGAAATAGCGACGGAAATGGAAGCGGCAACTTTGACGGCCGCAGCTGCTGCAACAGCGCCATCAAACGACGATAATCAAATGAAACGAAATGATGTGCATTATTTGTTGAAACAATTAAATAGTTTTAGTGATATAGAAGAAATAGAAATTGTTGATATGGAGCAAAGACAGCGACAGCTGGACGAACAACAGCAGCTAACACAGCAGCATATGGGCCACGGCGTGGACAAGGCACACTCACCGACAGCGCAATCGCTTGTGATAACCTCGCCATCGTCACTGTCACACAAAGGCATACGACGCTACGCCTCACTGCACCAACAGCAGTGCACGCAATATCCGCTCGATAGCGATGAGGCGATCGACAGCGTCGATCAACAGCAATATTTGCTGCAACAATTCGACGACTACCTTTTTCAGTCCTGCCACTATCTGGAGACAAATTATTTTGCCGCCAACTATCGCACTGCCATGGTTGAGAGCAGCTCACACGAGTTCCGACCATCGACGACGACGACAACGGGCACATCGGCAGCATCTGTCTCATCGGAGCAATCCCTCGAGCTGCACGAGACCGAGCCGCCGAGCGTCATCTGTAAGGCACCACCGCCACCAGCGCCTGCCACACCAACACCATCTTTAAGCGGCGTCGACGTGCCGACAACGCCTAGACGCTACGGTATGCAAGCGCGTTTGACTAGCAGCGGCGTGCAAACCGAACTCACCGCCACCTCACTAACGGAGGCGTCGCTGGCGAAAAGCAGCAGTAGTTCCGCTAGCTCCGAAGAGCAGCGTCGGCGTGCGCCATTCTTCAAGTGCTGCTACACGCCCATAGATCGTTGGCGTGAAAAACGTAGCGCAGCACATTCAGCGGCGGCAGCGCAAAAGCGTGGGAGTCGACAAAGTGAGCGATCAAGTGTCACTGCAGCTACAGCGTCGGTTAGCAAGCGTGGTGGCGCCACCGCCAGTGCCAGAGCTAGTAAAGCCAACGTCGCACAGCAACATACGGGCAAAAATGGGCATGCAGTCTGACATTTCGCGTACGCATTGGAGTGTGTAGGCGTGAGCTTGAGCATGAACTTAAAGAAAAAACGATGCAAATTGAGAATCCATCAGCGTCGCTGTCTATTTGCGATATCAACAATTATTTCTATTTCAAAATTATACTTGGAATATTTACGCAAATACTTTTGTATACATGAAGATATTCCAAGTAGATTATTTGTTTAAAAGCGCAAACTTAGATGATAAACTAGGAGGAGAAGCAGAAAGAGTTATTTTCTGCAGCGCATTGAAGGCGCGTCAATGCGTGGCAAAAAGTGAAAGAGATTTTGAATATTGGCGATTGTAGTCAAGAATAAAATAGAAGTCTTAAAAAGTGTTCTAAATGTTAAAGCTTTTTTAAAAAGCCCTTTAGTTGTATGCATGCATGCAGGAAGTAAACCAGTCCGGTGCCAGTGTCAACTGTTACCAGTTAAACTAGGAACCACACACGCTAACCTCAAAGATAATAAAGAGCCACAAATACACCGCACTAAACAAGAGATTTGCATTGAAAATAAGTGCTTTTAAATTAAATTGTTTGTTATCAATTAATGTTAGACTAATAAGTTCTTTAACAATCCACATAAAATAAGAAACACGAGAGGCAAATTTGCTTTTCAAGCATTCCAAAGATTGTAGCTATAGTTTTTAAAAACAAATTCAAGTTAAAAAAAAAGAAAATTACCGATTTGCAAGTAACATATACATACCATGGTTTAATTATTATTACTTGTTTTTATTAATTTCTTTTAAAATATTTTTTGGTTTTTTTTTTAATTTTATTTATTCCTTATTTATTTTTCTTGTTGTATTTTTTCAAATATTTTTATGTTGCTTTTTGTATTTTTTATGAAATTTTTGTTTTGTAATTTTAAAATTTCATGTATGTCATGTTTTTGATGTCGATTTTTTTTACACCTATAAACTACCGGATTTCACTGAGTTGGATTCAATTTAATTAAAAGTTACAATTACCAAATTTTACGACCTTGGCTTTGTCTTATTTTTGATATTAGTGTGTAACGATTGCAGTGTAGTGAATTCCGAATGCTTTTGTTTTTAAATTGATTAGGAGCATCTAAATAATCACCTATTGTAAGAACACCGAATGTCATCTTAATGCCTACACACACTCACACAGCGACTTAAGTGACTGCAGCACACTGAACGAATACCGCACATGGAACATACATACGTACATACATGCATACACATACAATTTTGTTTGCGAGCTTCACCAAGCTGTATAGAAGAAGCGTAAACCTAAACCTAATAAAATAACGAAGTGCAAGCATGGAAACGTAAATAATAATAGCTTAATATATAATATATATGAAAAAAAAACCTTAAAGAACAAATGCCGTCGGTAGGTAAAATTGCAAAAGAAAGTAAATAAAGCAGCAGCAGCACATAGCATATTTCACGAATGTTTACGAAAAATACTTTACAAAATTAAAATAACTGTAACGCGAGCGTTTAGTCTTAATATAATTAATTATAATGAATGCATATACTAAAAATAAGTAACTTTTTCTAAAACACAAAAGAAGTAAAACATAAAAGTAGAAACGCATACAACAACAAAAAGGTAAATAAACATTTGCAAAATAAGTGAATAAAATGCAGAAAATATATTGTTAATGCATTGAAACGCTAAAAATATAGAAACTATATGAACATAAACCAAAACCAAACAGAAAAAACACAATACCACATGCAATGCATATTAACTATATATGCTATAAACTATAAAAAGCGCATCAAATACCAGTAAATAATTTAATTAGAGAGCTTGTATAGTAAATGAGTGAAATCGAAGAAGGAAAATAAAAGACAGCAAACAAAAATATATTGAAATAATAAATTAATTTAAATTAAAAAAAAAGAAAAACAAAAAGCGTAGAAGTGAAATTTTTAAGCGCTAATTTTTAATTTTCAAAACATTCTAGCAATAACTTAATAGGTAATTCATATAATTATACATACAAGCAAATAAGAAGTAAAGCAAAGCAAGAAAAAAACAAAAAAAAACACAAAATACACCATGTCATGTGACAGCGCAATAAGCGTGCAGGAACTGTTACCATTAACGGAGTCATTGAAATAAATTGAAAAAAAAAAAAAATTTTAAAAAATGGATATAAAAAAAATTTGTCTAAATTCTGCATATAGCATAATAAATTAATCCAAGTACCAGTTGTTAAGTTTGGGTTTTGATTATTCGAGTCTTGAAATGTTACGTACGATGCTGTTAATTTTGTTCGTTGATTTTTATATACATACATACCTACATATAGTACATTTAAAAAGCAAAGAAGCAATGAAGCAATGAATGTAAGTACGCACGCAGAGCGCAAAACAGGTTATGCACATACGTACATACATACAAACATCATATTTAAAAACTTTAACTCCGAGAAATTGTTAAGCCGTCTTCTGCTTACTTTAATGTTTTAATTTCGCCAAGCATCACTAAAAATAAAACACTAAAGTTCGAAGTGAATCAAAGTTCTATTAAAAATTACTGTTAAGCTTGGCGCAGTAGCATTGTAATTACACTTGATTCTATGTTTTTTTTTTGTTTGCTAAAACTTATACTTCAATTCTTATCGACGCTGTACACACTTACATACATACATTCAATTTGTATACGCAAAGCCGCATACACACACACACATGCAAGCATTAACACATACAAACACAAAGCAAAACATATATATATATACAAATATATAGTATATATATACATAAATATATATCAAAAGCAAACTTGTCAATTTTGTTATGAACATTATTATTATATATGAAATACTTATATTGTACTACAATAACATTTTTCTTATGGCGTTTAAGTGGAGATATTTGGGGAACTTTTACAATTTTTTCTTATTATTATAACGCATTCTCTTCTATGGATTAATTATTCTTATATTATCACTAGTACCAAATAAAACACGCATACACATATATATACTCACAAATGGACAATTGAAAAATGCGAAGAAATTATACACAATAAAACATAAAAAAATATTACAAAAACAAATAATCAACAACAGCGCTGTTTCCTAATTTTCCATGTATTTAAGGACTAAACTATTTTTTAAGGTTAAGCAAGCATGAGCAACTGCTTGCTGCTCATCGTACTACGTTTTTAACCTCGTAATTTAATTTTAATTAAGCGGATGGGTGGTCACAGACAGCTGAGTACACCTACAGTTATTGCGATGGATCTCTAGTTGGACAAATTAATTACGTTTAATTTGATTACAGCTCAATCGAGGGACAACGTTTTCCAGCAAATAATTTAAATATTCTTAATTCATGCAATTATTTTCTTTTTTACTGTTAAGTTTCAATAAGTGATTGTACTTATATTTCCCGTAATGTCACTTTAACTTAGTTCGTTTATTTTTAGCTTTTTCGCCATTTCTTGAACTCATATTATTGCTTAATTTTTTAAATACATTTACAATAACATTAGTTAGTTACAACAGTCATGACCCAAGTGACTACCAAGCTCACAGAGCTTGGCCGGTTATATCCACGTCCGTTAAATTTACGTATGTATTTCCGACAGTTGCGGAACAAATTTATTTCGTATATTTGTATTTTCGCCAAAGCTCTTTGTTTTTTTCTCGTCGGCAACGAAATAATTTTTTAAAAGTTCAACTTCAAACGTGGAGCTTTGAAAGTGTATTCAGCTCGAGAGAACAATCGCTGAATAAGGCCATATCCTCGGCACATAACGCTACCTTTAAAAATTAACCGTCAACTTTTTTCTATTTCTGTAGAACTAATATATTACTAACATTTTCAGAATATCAGCTAAATTTGATTAATTTTATAGAGGTAAGTGCAATTCAGCAGATATGGAGAATTCACAATTCTCGAAAATTGGAAAAACTTACGCCGAGCACAGCTTAAAATTTCCCAACTTCAAGTGTAATTGCGGGGAAAAACGTAAGGGATCTCCGTTTTAATCCGTCGGTTGCAGCTTCTTACAGTGGACGCATACCCGGTACATGTCCATTTATGCATACACTTTATAATTTATTGAATACACTTGCAAATTTGATTTCAATGCGTATCACTTTAAGCAATTCATCAACACAGTTCTTC